CTCTTGTGGCGCCCTCTGTGCAGTCGATCCTTCTTGTGGCGCCCTCTGTGCAGTCGATCCCTCTTGTGGCGCCCTCTGTAATTACGTGTGTTTTTGGGGTTGCAGGCTTCATTGTTTACACGGCTGTCGTCGTCTTCATCGCTGGCGTCCTCGTCTGCTACTTCTCGCCGCACTACGGTCATAAGAACGTTCTCGTCTACACGACCATCTGCTCTCTCATTGGCTCGCTCTCCGTCATGGCGTGTAAGGGCGTCGGCGTCGCTTTAAGACAGACTGTCGCTGGCGGCGGTAACGCGTTCACCAGCTGGCTGACGTATGCGCTGGCAGCGTCGGTGTTCGCCTGCATAGCCGTACAGATGAACTACCTTAACCGCGCTCTTGACACGTTCAACACGTCCCTCGTCTCACCTATCTACTACGTCTTCTTCACAACCTTCACGATCATTGCATCCGCGATCCTGTTCAAGGAGTGGCGCCACCTAGGGGGTCGCGAGATTGCAGGTAACGCGTGTGGGTTTGCGACGATCGTCGGTGCCATCTTCCTGCTGCATGCGTTCAGGGAGTTTGACATCACGCTGCGCCGGCTACGCGCAACCGTCGCCGACGACAACGCCGCATCCACCACCGCCGAACGACGAATGCTCATAGTGGGCGCTGCAGCAACGGCGGAGCGCGAGGATGGCGGGGGCGGCGACGCATGCTGAGGTTGAGCGGTCACAAGAAGATTTGTTAGTATTGTCAGTGACCACTAGAGGGCAGCAGCCACCAGTTAGTTACTCATTTACCCAATGTACATATCCCAGGCAGAGTGAGAGGCAGGATGGATTTTAGGAGTGGGTGGGAGGGGCTTGGGCATAGATAGCATTTTGCCTCATTCGAAAGGAGTTATTCGGACTTAACTTTACAAGTGCCTTTAATCAACAGGATATTTCCTAAAACAATTCCGTCTTTGTGGGGGAGGGTACTATTTTTTGTAAAAATAACTCGATATAATGTCGTACAAAAACACTGAGCATAATTTATAAACAAGTCTTGAACTTATCTTGTCTTATCAAGTCTTGTCTGGTGCTTGAACTTATGCGTGGGTTTGTATAGGAGTGTTGTGTGTGCATGCACACAGCTTTACTACCTATGGCTATAGATCTATTTCTGTCACTGTTTACAGTTATATTTTTGGTTAATCTTTATTTGTTTTGTTTTATCAGATGCAATATACATGCATATTTTTTCTGTTTTCATTCCTGCAATATGCCTGTTTGTCATGATAATTTTAATTCTAGGTATATGTGATAATGATATAAATTCTCCTGATCATTAATCAATTATCGTTATACACGTGCTGTGATTGGAATTTTACATGCGCAGCTAATTTGAGCAGCTGGTGTAAATAATTGTTTAAAATTCGTGATTGTTTATTTTATAGTTAAAAAAGAAGTTTTATCGATCATGTTAGCTGGTATTCGCACGATGATTTCACTTGTCAAATATTCATTATTCGTTTCCTAGTTGGAAGAACTCCCAACTTGCTGTGCATGTGAAACAGAGTACTGCAGCTGGCTATGATCTGATTTCCCTGAAGCGGGACTTTGATGTGTTAATCTGACGTTTGCTGTGATAACTGCTTAATTAAGATAGCGACGTGGACAACAATCATTACCCGTATAGGGTGTGGTGGGTACGTTCCACCACGTCTATGCCTCAGGTTAAAATTCATTCCCTCCATAGAATAGTTAGTCTGGTTAGTGTTTATTGCTGTGTGTTATCTGCCGTCCTTGTGTTTACATATCATAAACAGAGTTTTAACGTAATTAAGATGAAGATTGTTTCTGGATGCATTTGCGTCATGCGAAACATTTTCCGGAACATTTAGTGATTATTTTGTTATAATTTTCATATACTCGCTCTATCGTGAATATAATGATGAAATGTAACCCTATTAATATCACAGTAAATGTCTGTATTCTTAAAAGGCAGAAAATTGTGTTTTATGGTTTGCGCATGTGTGTGCGTGTATGGGTTACTGTGCAGCAGTGCGATAGGTGGGCGTGCTCGTGTGGGTGTTAGGAAGTCGCTTTATGTATGCGTTGTCTGTCAACGTGTACACATTTACCGTCTGATAAACTAAGCGATGTAAATTGATTTAATAGCGTGATTGTTTGAAAAATTTCTGATATGAAAAACAATGGTTTAAGCATATAGACAGATTATTTTCGTTCTCAACAATGATTTTCCCACTGTAGCAAAATCGTGTTCATGTTTTCTCATTGCCTCTATTTTTCCGTATCCCCCTCTCGGGGGAGGGACCGGGAGGGGCGGGAATTAGGGCAGTAGGGGGTGGCGGGTAGTCGGGGTATAGGGAGCAGTGTAGGGGGTAAAGGGATGGGAACGTATAGATGGACGTGAGTTTCAATATCTACGAGTTAAATTTGACGTTTATATGTCGAGCTGGAATGCACATGCAACGCACGCACCACGCCACGCACGCACGCACGCATATACTCTGGTAGGAAGTGTAGGCAACTTATCTAGCTCGTTTAATTAAGTTTGCCGTGTCTAAATAGTTTGCTGTTGTGACGGAGTATTAAGTTTGGCCCTTGAATACTCAATGTATTTCCTTGCCTAGAGTTGCATGTTATAATATCTATATAGTATATATATATATAATAATATTTATATATCATATATCAATTGCTATTTGTGGCTGCGCGGTGCGTTTGTCGGTACGATTACTTCATCGTGAATGATGGATTCACGCACGCATAGTAGTCGAGTTTATAGCTCCAACAAGGACACGTTAGTATTTATATACCGTGTCAGTTTCAGTGTATTACAGACAGTATACAGCATTTACGAACTATAAACAGACGAAATATACCAGGAAGTTTGCTACGATATTTTCGTTTCATATACTCTCTCGTTTTTTTGTCTCATACGATGGGATCTTATGTAATCCGTAATCGTGGAACACAATCCAAAGCGCGGTTTCGCTGAATTAACATCATTTCTACTTATTGTCTAATATTTGCTATTTATCTTCAGATAGACGCGAATTGTGCATGCTCTCGCATGTATGGATGGCAATGCCGCGGGATTTGGAATATAAGGTTTTATAACGGCCATATCACGATGAATATTTCGAACTAGAGAGTGATTTCTCCGTGCCGATATATCTTAGCCAGAGCCTGCTAACGCGACTGCAATATCGTACATGTGGTGGATTTCGCGAAGTGAACCTTTCGAATGAGCTTGAGATTAGACTAATGCCTAATAATTTGTGTAAGAGGATTGTATTGTCGAGTTGCCATTATTGGCCTGTATTTGTCAAATGACCTTATTAATTCCTCATACTTATGCTTGCCAACATAATGGCGTATGACCACGGATCGAATGCCTGACCGGATGAAAAGATGCTGCTTAGTTCTAGTTATTTTTTTATTTTCTCTAATAATTCCTGTTAGAGAGCGCGCTCAGCTCTGCGTATATGTTGCGCTACTCAGCGATAGCGGGCGAATCCTACAAGCCTACTACAAACCTTCCTTGTGCTGCGTTGCCTGAATTTCCTCCTCCTCCTCCTCCTCCCCTCCTGCCGTCCTCTAACGTTGTGGTTGATGCCTCTCACCTTTCCTCAAACCTCCGCCTCCTCTCAGACAAGCTCGCCTCCCTTATACTCTTCTCCTCTGCCTGCGTCCTCCTGTAGTATATGATCCTTTAGCAATCTCCCTAACCGCCTTCCCATTCCTAACAAAACGTCAAGCATCGCACATCTTCTTCTTGTATCCCGCATCCCGCACATCCCTGCCGCATCCACGCATCCCCGCGAGCATCCCTGCCCGGCATCCCTGGGCATCCCCGGCAGCATTCCTGCCGCATGCCGGCTGCTCCGCGCAGCATCCCTGCACGGCATGCCCGCAGCATCCCCTCCGCAGGCATCCTGCTCCGATCTCCTGCATTCCCGCAGCATACCTCATCGCCTGGCAGCATCCCCAGCAGCATCCGCAGCATCGCCTGCCGCGATCCCTGCATCCCCGCCAGCAATACGCTGCAGCCGCCCAGCATCCTGCAGCATCCCCGCAGCATCCGCTGGCCCGCATTCCTGCATTCCCGAGCATACCTGCATTCCGCACAGTCATCCTGCATGGCATGCTCACAGCAGCCCTCGACAGCATCTTCCCGGCGCAGCATCCGCCTGCCCCATCGCCCGCTCAAGCATGCCCGCGCATCCCTGCGCTCGCATCCTCTGGCTCAAGCTCCAGGCACTGCATCGCCAACTGCCCCGCATCCCTGCACTCCCGCAGCATCCTGCATGCATCCGCTGCAGCATTCCCTACAGGCATCCCCGCAGCAGTCTGGCCGGGCATCACCTGCATCCCCGCGCATCCTGCGCATACCGGCAGCTCTCGGCCAACAGCCATCGCCGCAGCATCGGCCCACAGCATCCCTGGCAGCATCGCGCCCACATCTCCGCAGAGCAATCTGCTGCAATCGCCCGGCGGCACTCTACATGCATCTCCCGCAGCATCCCTGCATCCCCAGTCAGCATCCCTGCAGGGCAGTCTCCGCGCAGCATGCCGCTGCCGCGCATCCCCGCCGCATCTCTGCATCCCCGCGGCACTCCTACAGCATCCCGCAGCATTCCTGGCTCCCCGCAGATCTCTCATGATCCCCGCGAGCATCCCTGAGCAACGCATCCCGCAGCAATCTCTGCAATCCGCGCAACACTCCTCAGCAGCATCCGCCGCAGCATTCGCTGCATCCCCGCGTGCACTCCTACAGCATTGCCCCGAGCATATCCTGCATTCCCCAGATACACAGCATCCGTCCCATGCAGGCATGCCCCCGCAAAGCATGGCCCTGCCGATCCCCCCCCGTAAGCATCTCACTGCATCCCCGCGGACAACCTCAACTACAGCATCCCGCAGTCAGTTCGGCATCCCCGAAGCATCCACTGCAGCAATCCAGCCGCAGCCCTCTACAGTCATCCCGATCAAGCATTCCTGCAGCATCCCTCATGGAACCCACGCAGCGGGGCGAGGATGCAAACCAGCTATAGCTCAGCGCGGTGATGAATATAGCTGGCGGTCAAGGCGGCCGCCTCGTCATATATCGTAAATCATGAGAGGTCAGGGGAGCAACATAAATAGTTCACTCTCTCTCCGGGTCTGCTAAACACACGATAAAGTATAGGAGCGCGTGCCTGCATGAACCCTCGGGCTTGTGCAATGACGAGTGTGTATGGCGCGGTGCAGTTACATGTACGGCGTCACGCTACTGTTACACTTACACCACTGCTATGGGCGTCCGGCAC